TTTATTATTTCCCATAATTTTGGGACACTGTATATATCATTAACAACTAGACTGCGGATTTTAATGCGAAATAAAAATTGCCTGCGTTATTTACAAGCTACAGAAGCTTCACAGTCGTTTCTTTCTATTTTCCATTACTTTGTTCAGTTGAAAGTAATGCAAAATGTGTTTATAAATTCTTCGTACGTTTTCACCGTTCCGCGTTCAAGCTATTCATTTTCGTCATGAAATCCGCAGTCCGTTTTCAATAACCCTCGCTCACCTATTGAACCAGTCATCGGTGTATCTCGGATACGGATAAGGATCATTACTGCTGAAGTCGTAGGAAGCCTTGGCATTCTGAAACAAAACAAGCGGTCCCGTCAGTTATTATCGTCTTCCCGTTCTTCGGATAAAAGATGCGAGAATTAGAACGCAGCTATTAATAATAACCGATCATCGAGCCGACAGCCTCCGCGCGGAATTATTCAATGGGATCGCTCGGATAACGAGGCGGCCGAATAAATCTCGCGGAAAAGTAACAAGGACTTCTCAACGCCGACTAATTGGCCACGGATACCAACCGGCGACATAGTTTGCGCTGTAAAATTCGCGTTTATTAATTTCAACCGGCTATAAATTCGTCCCGGCCCGCTGATAACGGCGGCCATTAATCTTGCTCTCTCTACCGGGAGTCAGCTTTTTCTCCGGTTTCCCTTCATCACTCGATTTTACTTGCCGCTAATTGGAAAAAGTACTGTTAAGGAACATTATCTCGAGGCATTCGACGGCTTCCTTTTTCTTCTGTAAAACGTTTCTTCTACGAACTTTCGGATTAAACCACTTTGTATATTATGTTCTGCAATTTAAAGGGTATTTCGTTTAATTAATACATAATGATGATAATCATAATGGGACGTTCCCTGCCGCGTTCATGATCACCGAGATTTATACTTATCGAGCTCCGTTCGCGCTCTGGCGTATGACATCTGCGAAAAAAAAGTCTATTGCAATATTCAATATTTTTAAAGAATATTCTGTTTTACGTGCTAACTGCGTTATCCTGCTTCAAAATTGGGTTTTCTAATTCACGATAATATTTTTTTACTATTCTGTGGACTAGAGAGTTTCGAAGAGTACAAGCTATGTTTGCCGAATGTTTATAGCAATAATTTGTAAATACTTTGTATATTTTAAGATGGTATTAGAACACCAACATTATCAGTTTCAATTTATCGAAACTATTATTATTTGTACCGATAAACCATTTGCAAATATCTTGTGCATTTTAAGAAGGTTTTTAAACATCGTTACATCACTTTCAATTTATTAAACAATTATTATTTTAACTGATAAATAATCTGCAAATTATTTATGCACTTTAAGACGATTTTCAAACATCGTTATATCACTTTCGATTCATCTAAACTATTGTTATTTGAACTATATAAATAATCAGTAAATATTTTGTACATTTTAAGAAATTTATAAACATAGTTACATCACTTTCAATTGATCTATCCCATTATTACCTGAACCATCAAAAGTAGAAACAGACTTTCTCGCCTTGTATAAGCCCGACGAACGTAAATCTGTCTCGCCGTCTCATAAACAAATTAAACTGAACGAACGAAAACCTTGCAACCCACATGATTCAGAACCGAGCGACACACGTAATCAATTCTCCGCATTGCCTTCTAATAAAAGTGCCAACGACGACCAGCGTACCAACTTGAAGTAACTAAAAGCAGAAAGAATTTCTCCTCCGTTTCTCTGATTGCGCAGAGAAGAATTTCGCCCGAATAATCACGGCCCGGCGATAAAGCTAATTAGAGGCCAGCGAATTTTTCCCCGGCGAGTTTTCTTCCGTGAAACTTTCGCATTGTCACCCGGCTCGGAAAGTTGATCAGTAGTCCCGGCGACACGTGTAGATCCCATTGTCTCCATTGCGTCCACGTTTCACCTTTCTCGTTTCCGACGTGGCAGGTCGCATTGTCGATGCTGGCTGTCGCATCGAACGAACCAGCAGCAGCGAGACATCCCGCAAGATATACGACATTATCTGCCCATTATTTCGCGCTATCAGTTTTCCTCGTAAAGTAAACCACGCGGCGCGACACTTCGAATCTATAATCGCGAGATCCTTTCAGCGACGTACTTCGGATCTGAATCCGGGTCGAGGATCCGTTCCATGGCGTTCCGGAACAATGCGATCTCTGGTTCCTGTTATTTATCCGACGCCATTCAAACGCGATATCGTCGAACTTCCTCCTTCGTCTAATAAGCGCCGCTGAAACGAAAACATTGACGCGGAATCAAATTTTCTTCGGCCGCTTTAATCATCTGACCGCTGTTTCCGTTCGTTCGAATTATTTGTCGAAGAACCTTCGCGCTGGATTTTTGTGCTGAATTCTTACGATTGATTCTCGCGATTAATGTTCCTGATTTCTCGACATTTCCCATTTCTCGAGAAATGAGAAAAAAGACTACAGGGTGTCCCAAAAATGTCTCGCAATCCGAAAGTAAGGGGATTTCTGAGGTCATTTCAAGCAACTTTTTCCGTAGCGAAAATGCAATTCGCAGCTTCGTTTACGAGTTATTAACGAAAAACAGATTGGGTATCATCAATACTTTTTTTTACATAAAATATTTTTAAAACTGCTAAATCTCGTGATTATAATATATTGGTATATTATAATGTTATTATTATTATATATTAGTATATACATATATAATAATAATAACATTATATATATATATATAATAATATATTATTATTATATATTTATATACTAATATATAATAATAATAACATTATATATATATATATATATATATATATATATATATATTATTATATATTATTATTGGTATATTNNNNGAGAGAGAGAGAGAGAGAGAGAGAGAGAGAATGAGTATGTCAGAGAGAGAGAGAGAGAGAAAGTCCCCCAAATTTTTGCATAATAGGCGTCCCATCACTCACAATAGCTAGAACGTATTTTTATAGTGAAAGACTAAAAGAATTTATTTTTACATCAAGTAGTTCTAAAGCTTTTTTTAGTTTTACGGCTTCCATGAATTGGTATTAATCCTAGATTGGTAGATGCTATTCCTTGATGATGATTGGTAGATGATATTCCTTGTTATATAATTCCTTGTAATAAATATTTATGTGTACAACCATGTATCTTTCATTGTTATTTTAGTGTTTCTATTTTCTTCATTAATTCTTCTATTTTGCGTATAATAGCCAAACATTAATTTGCATCCAATGAATTACAGGAGAGACTAAATTCTTTAAACGATAAACTGTGTCCTATAAATTCACTTTTAGTGATTTGATTATATTAAAATCGATCAACAGCTGCCAATTTCGATGTTGTTTCTGACAAATTCGGTCGTACAATAAATTTATTAATTGTTTCGTTTTCGTCCGAACACCGAAATCGTTTGACAGATTTAAAACTAGAACTACTGGTACTTGATTCATCCATACTTTCCACTCTTTTTTAAAACTGCGAACACCTCTAGGATGTCTACGAAAATCTATGGTTGCTCTATGACCTATGGGTCATATAAAATGGAAGAACTATTTTAAATTTTGCGTTTGTTCGGCTTCGAGTGCAAAGGGTTAAACTAACCAAAAATTCATTTCCGCGAAAATATAATGAGATTCATAAAAATTTTCCCAGATTTAAATTTCACGAGAAATACTGTATTTTTCGAGAAATGGGAAAGAACCAATTATAAAATTTCTCGAGAAATCCTCGAGAAGGAACACTCATGATCGATCTTCGTACTTTGATATTTATGCTACGTCTTTACGTACAATGGTTGTGCTTCATCTTTACAATTGATTTTTGTGCTTCATCTTTGTGCCTCACTTTTACGATTGATTTTTGTGCTTCATCTTTGTGCCTCACTTTTACGATTGATTTTTGTGCTTCATCTTTGTGCCTCACTTTTACGATTGATTTTTGTGCTTCATCTTTGTGCCTCACTTTTACGATTGATTTTTGTGCTTCATCTTTACGATTGACCTTTGTGCCTCATTTTCACATCTGATTTTCCGCTTCATTTTTACGATTGACCTTTGTGCTTCATCTTCATAATTGATCTTCTGTGCTTCATTTCTATACCTCATCTTTACAATTTATTCGTACGCTTTGTCTTCATGCTTCATCTTTACAATTGATTTTTTGCTTCATCTTTACGACTGACCTATGCGCTTCATCTTTATGCTCGAATTGATTTTTGTGCTCCATCTTTATGCTCGATTTTTACAATTGCTGTTCATGCTTCATTTTTACGCTTCATCCTTACAATGGATTTTTGTGCTTCATATTTATGCTTAATCTTTCGTTTCACCTCTACGATTCACCTTTGTTCAATCTTCACGTGGCATCGAGGTGACAATTGCCACCGGGATAGTACACGGTACTCTAGAACTATTTGCCACTCAACAGCACAATTTTTCACCGGTTTCATTTCCGAGCACGATTGCCTCTGTCAAGACAATAAATTCTATCCCTGAACCTCGCGTTGATTAACGTTTAATGTGCCGACCTAGAATCGCCGAAACAAACTGGCACCGGGATCTTCGAGGTCAAGACTAAAGCGTCGCGACGCTTCGGAAAAATCGTATACGTACGAAAGCAGATTTAAATTTTAAAGTGTGCTTGATGTGATGCGGACAAGAGGGATCGATGGAAGTTGTTCACGATGAAATGTTCGAGGGAAGAAGCTGTCAGATATTTTGTTTTCCGTAAACCTCGCAATTTTGTTCGAATTTTAACCTGGTGATCCGAATGATTTTTCTAGCTATTTTTACTGTCCGCTTCAATTTCTGAAGTACTGTTTTATTAAAGAAGTGCGATCTGTCTACAATAGTGTAAGAGAGAAATTAAATATATGACAATAAATTAAATATTTGGCAGGAAATTAAAAATCAAAAAACATCGAAAGTAAATTAAATGTTTGGAAGTAATTCAAGTATTTGACAATAAATTAAATACGTGATAGTAATACAAATATTTAGTATTTTACAATAAATTAAATATTTGTCGGTCTTGACGAAATAGAAAACGGATGAATTGTTGCCTGAGGCACCACAAATTTCAATAAAATCAAAACAATGACCGATTTCTATTGGTTGCTTGCGCGAGTGACAGATGAAAAAGTCTTTCTAGAGTCTTTCTAGATGAAAAATAGAGGTCGTACTCACGTAATTATACTTCAAGTCCGGATGCATGTAGTCGACACCTGGAACAGGGAAGAAGAAAAAGAAGGTCAGCTGTGCCAGAATTAAAGAAGAAGGGACAAGGTGGGATTTGGATACTAAATTCAGGAACATTTTCGATTTTATAAGACATGAATGAATTTTCAAGACAATTTTTAACGATGATGTCAATCGTCGCTCATTTTCATCGATTATTTTCATCGACCATTTCTCAAGAAACAGAAATAAAGAAAACATCTTTATTAATAACAACACTGTTTTTTGTCATTAGACTGCGAATCTTTCAGCAGGATAAATATTTTCTTGATCAATTGTTCGAAAAGTAAGTTAAATAAGCATATTTGCTTTCAATGATTTCAATAAATTAAGAACAATGTAAGACTATTCCAAAGTTCTTTCGACGTCCTAATTTGGAACTTCACCGTGTCAATTTTAACATAAATGCGAAGAAAACCCACAATCTATTTATCACAAAGTTACCTCAGAGATGCAATTAACATGCAATTCATGTTTCCTATTTAAATTATACCTTCTTCGAAAATTTCAAGCTTTTGACAATTCCATAAGTGCATAAAAATCTACAGTTCGTTAACAATACCTTGAAGAGATTTTTCAGTCTCATCCGGCGCAGAGAACCATCCGATACAACCAGATCTCACGAAGTAAGACATTACAAGACATTACAAGATTCCTAAGGAGCGAGTAATTACGGTCTGGATTCAAAGTTAGTGACAAAGATTAAACCTGGTTCCCGAAGCAATTAACAACGACCTATCTAGCTTGCGCGAACGTGTTCCGTGCTCTCTGGAACCGGAAATCCAATTCACCGGTTAACCCTACCGTCAAAGACACTTTGGCCAACCGCTAAACCAGTCGCGATCTCTAATCTCCAGAAGATTTACTCTAATTTCTACTTACAGTATTCGATTGGCAAGAAAGTAATTTCGGTTTGCACTAATAAATAGCGTTACGTTTGCAATGTAATTCTTTTGTTAAGGATATAATCTTTTTGTCTTCAGCTTTGGTAGTTGACACGTTTAGGTTACTACAGAAACAAATTCCGTGTCGTTTTGTTTATAACTGATAGTTTGCTGTCAATTTTAACATGGAGTGCAAAAATGGATATTTTCGACACATTTTACCTTTTTATTTTCATAAAGGCAAGAAAGCGGTCGAGGCTCACAAAGAGATACGCGAAGTTTATGGCGTCGATTGCTTAAAAAATAAATAATAGAGAGTACTGTACAAAGTCTGATACTGTATATTCTGTCTGTATATCGTTAAGACTGTTGTAAATCGATGTGAAGACAAAAGAAGTTTGAAACAATGCATATGAAGACGAATATTTGATTCAAACAATGAGCGAGTGAGCTACTAGAGTAAGCCACTATAGTGATGTGTCGTTCTGAAAGATGACATCCGCGGAAGCCACTATAGTGGCGCGTCGTGCCTAAAAGGTTAACAGAACGCACGTGTCAGAATTGGTTCAAAAAATTTCGTTCCGAAGATTTTTCACTTAAAGATGACCAACGTTCTGGTCGACCTTCTGAAGTTGACGATGACAAAATCAAAGCCATAATTGAATCGAATCGTCGTATAACTGTACGAGAGATTGCAAAAAGGTTAAATGCATCGCACACAACAATTGAATATCACATAAGATGTCTTGGACTTGTTAAGAAGCTCGATGTTTGGATTCCGCATGAATTGAAAGAAATTCGCTTAACACAACGAATCGGTATTTGCGATACGCATTTTAAATGTGATGCAATCGACCTTTTCTTGAAACGAATTATCGCTGGTAATGAAAAATGGATCGTTTACAGTAACATTAATAGAAAAAGGTCATGGTGCAAGCGTGATGAACCAGCGCAAACCATATCGAAAGCTGAATTACATCAGAAAAAGATCATGCTGTCAATTTGGTGGGATTATAAAGGTGTTGTGTATTTTGAGCTGTTTCCAAGCAACCAAACGATCAA